GTATCCAATTTATTTAAGTTAAAGTTATCTTTTAGATTGTAAGCCCTCAGGGGCAGGGCCCTCCTTACCATCTTGTCTTGAATTGTATTGTGATTGTAATGTCTTCCTTATATTGTAAAGCGCTGCGCAAACTGTTGGCGCTATATAAATCCTGTATAATAATAATAAGAATAATCCGCTTTTAATATGACCAGCAGACTTACCACAATGGAGAACGGTCCAGAGTCCCACCATCCACAGGAGCCCCATGATGTTCCCCCTTCAGCCTTCGCCGAGGTCTGCAGAGAAGCAGAGAACAATTCCTGGATCTTCCTCAGATATTCAGCAATCACTAACCTGATCTAATAGCACTGTCCTTCCTCCTGCTGGATCCTGCTCTCCGCCCTGCAATACAACTGCTGGAGAGCTGCCGGTGTCATTCCCAGACACAAATCCACTTCTCTGCCCTGTGGCAGAATGACGTTGGATTATTTTGTGATATAAATTTCATTCATATAAAATCTACAACTAATAAAGTGCTAAAATGTTATTGGACTCTTCCAGTAATGGGGACGACTGGTGGACAATGGAGAAATCAAAATGGGACCACAACTGGAGTTGTTGGCCACAACAGCCAAAGTTCTTGCTCAGTGGTCTCCACAAAGTGTGAGATGGAACACAATTGGTCGTTATTTGCAAGACATCCAATTCTCTCTTAAAGGGACACTGAACTCAAGAGTTAAATCTTAGAAATACATTCAAGTCCCTTAACTAATAACAACAATGTATCTTATTTGTGTATAACTCGGCTGTAGATCCTCCAATCATCTCTGAATTGGTGCCGACACTGTCCTTCCTTCTGGAGGGCGGCTACTTGTGTTCCCCATGGTCCCTGTGTGTGTGTTGTAAAGTAGTCACCGCTCCAAGCTCGCTCCCGTGATGGACTACAATCTTCACTAATCTGTAGGGATGCACGAGTACCGATAATTCTACTTCCGCCAGCATGGGGCCGTGTCATTATCCGCTGCCCGGCTTCTTGACTGCCTGGCCGGCTCGATGCTTATTGGCTGGCAAGCCAGCTTCCCGGCCAATCAGCATGGAGCCGGTCAAACAGCAGTGAGCCGGCTTCCCAGCCAATCAAGAAGCCAGGATTGGCCGGGAAGCCGGCTCCATGTTCCTTTGAGGCACTACAGAGGAAATCTCTCTCTGACCGGATCTACTTATCAGGGGTAAGTATCGGTACTCACCCAAATACTCGGTATCTGCACCGATACAAATACTAGAATTGGTGCATCACCTACTAATTTGTATTGAGATTGTAGTCCATCCCGGGAGCGAGCTTGGAGCAGTGACTACTTTACAACACACACAGGGACCATGGGGAAGAAAAGTAGCCGCCCTCCAGAAGGAAGGACAGTGTCGGCACCAATTCAGAGATGATTGGAAGATCTACAGCCGAGTGATACACAAATAGGATACATTGGGGGGAATTGATCAAAACTGGAGCAGCTGTGCATGGTAACCAATCAGCTTCTCTCTTTCATTTTCAAATCTTAACTGAACAAACTGAAGAGAGATGCTGATTGGTTGCCCTGGGCAACTGCTCCAGATTTTCTCTGCTCCAGTTTTGTTAAATTCCCCCCATTGCTGTTATTAGTTAAGGGACTGGAATGTATTTTTAAGGTTTCACTCCGGAGTTTATTATCACTTTAATCTGCTTACAATGAGCCACCCCTGGTTCCTCAACCTTCATTAGGAATAATTTAATTAGCATGTTGATGGACTGCTCTGTGATAGAACAAAGAAGCAAATCACCAGCACTCAATAATGAAGATGAATATGTCCTTTTAATGGACAAGACGTCACAGTGATCGAAAAAAGCCGACGAGCTGTGTTTGCACGGCGCCATCCAGGGTTATCATTTCGAGCACCACTTTACTTATTGGCCAGGACTGCTGTGAGGTGTGCGGAGAGCTCCTCCATCGCTATACATTTGCTCTGTGATAGACACTTTTTTGGAGCCTGGTTGAGATTTCTATTGACCTGAATGGGACTTCCCGTTTAGAAATTCCTAGTTTCAGAAGTTCAAAAATGTTTAGAAAGTTTGGCTGAACCTCCACTGATTAAACGTTTCCTAAGTTCACTCATCTCTGCTCATTTCTGTGCCTTGGTTCGGCTTTCTGCCGGTCATTATGTCATTATTTCACATCGCACTCGGCGGCTGTAAAGAAGATTTCTTCTTAGTTACAAAGTACAAATAGTTCCCTTCCAGACAAGGTACAAAATCATCTCTGCGGATCACTGATTAACTTCTAATTATCTCCACTGGATGCTTAACAGTAAAGATAATAAAGGAGAGACTTGTTTGGAACAGTCGGTGCTCAGAAAATAATTTCCTAAAGCAGAACTCCAGGCAAATGGGGGAATTGATCAAAACTGGAGCAGACCAAATCGGGAGCAGGTGTACATGGCGACCAATCAGCTTCTCTCTTCAGTTTGTTCAGTTAAGATTTGAAAATGAGAGAGAGGAGCTGATTGGTTGCCAGGCACAGCTGCTCCAGATTTTGTCTGCTCCAGTTTTCATAAATTGCCTTCAAAATATTGCTGATTGAGCAGTGAAGATTTAGAACCTCCCAATTGGGGAGACTGCTGCTCGCTTCCTGGCCTGGTGACCACACAGGTAGTAGGTAGAATCTCCTCAGTGGAGACAACACCAAACCTGATAATGGGTCTGAAGCTTAAACACTCTATGACTCACATCAGTGTCTACACCAGAGGGGCTCACACTCTAAGCCCCCCCCGTCACTCACTGTTGTGATTATTTTACACCTTTTTATAGCTCTGACATATTCCATAGTGCTGTACTGAGAACATTGACTTACATAAGTCTCTACTTATCTCTACTATAGTCATACAGAGCTGCACATACAGTGGGGCCAATCAGAGCCCAATCACTGTAGATAGATCCCTATATATATATATATCTATCTGCTGCTTTATTCTTTTTTCCTGCCCCCCCCCCCCCCCCCCGTTGATATAATAAACATTTATACTGCAATTTACCATCGAAGGAAGAATTACAAACAACCTTCAGCAGTCTTCATCCCCGAGCAGCCGCTTCCTCCAACGTGCTGGTGCTACATGACCGGACTGGCGGCACGCTGGTCTCATTCAGAACCATAATGTCAGTTTTATTTATCTTGGCTGGACACGAGCTCTTCTCGATGAAAATAGAGCAGCCAAAAAAGATCCTCATCAACACAAAACAAGAGGCCAACTGTTGACACAAGTTCTGGGCCAGACAACTCTGTCTGTGAGATTCAGTTTACTGAAGACATCCCAACCGAAGGTAAACTGAGGCCACCCAAAAAAGTAGAGTGGCCTAATACATGGAAAGAGATCAAAAAGAGTTACTTTTTCCATTATTATTCTTATTTATTTATTTTGTATTTTAACCTTCGCCTGTGAAAGCTTTATCTGATTCATTAGCATTTTATATAAGTGCTAACATGTTACTAATATTTTAAAAGTCATTTTCAAACTTTTTAAATCTACATC